TAAAGCTCTCCCACCCTGTCCACCCAGGTCAGCACCGTGAGGGCCGCCTTCAAACTGCCTGTCCTGAATGCACAACCAGGGAAGTGGGCCCTGGTGCCCCCTGGAGGGAAGTGGATGAGCTGGATGTCTGTTCAGGTGGAATTTGAAGGTGGTTGAGGCTGAGTCCCCTCTGACTTCCAGCTGCTGCCACCTGCGTTCTCTGCTCAGCCTCAGGCAGCTCCCTCCACACCTCCGCCCTACTCCCCCCTGAGCCCCACTTCCCCCTCACCCCTACCCCACCCCCCACCTCCTTCAGCAGTTCCTTCTGCACCTTTCTCTTCTGTTTATGGCACCATTCCATTGCCATCTCAGTTCCAGGGGTTCAGACCTTGGCCGTGTTTGTCCCTCTCATCTGTCCCCTTGACGCCGGAATCCAGGGCCAGCACCAGCATCCCCTCGCTGTGGTCCTTGACTCCTAGTCCGGTGTGACCCTCACTTCCGCCGCTTGAGTTACCCATGGGCCTGGCCAGTGATCTTCCTGTCACTGGGAATCGCTTCTGGGAGAGCCCCATGGGGAGAATCCTTACCCCGGCTGCTGTCAGAGCCCCACACCGGCTTGTGCTGCCTTCCCCACCACGTGAGGCACGTGAGCCTCACTGTTTGGACTCTTTCCTCTCATTTTAAAGAAAGCAGCCGAGCTCTGTGCATTTCCTCCCGAAGGACAGAGATGTGCCGGGGGAGGGGAAGCGCCTGCAGCCCTGCAGCCTTTGTATTCCTATTCCATGTGCAGAGAAGCCAGCTCCTCCGAACTCCGGAGAGTCACAGAGCCCATGCTTCCATAGCACCAAGGAAGGAGGGGCGCTCTCCCGGGTCCCCAACAAAGACAGCGGGAGCTCATCTTTCACTGTCCCTCACTAAGGCTCAGTGGGAGCTGGGGCAGTCGCTCTGAAAGCTGCTCCATGCCAAAAGGCCACAGGCAGCCTGGCCCGCAGCCAGAGGCAGCAAAGTGCAGGTCAGGACCCCAGAGTAAAACTTGGCCTTGGGTCTGATGGATAGTGAAGGGATGTGTAAACCCTTTAGCCAGTTTTGGTCTTTTAATATCTCCTGGTTCTTATTTTGTTTCCATCAAACAACATGAAGACAAGGTATTGGCTAGTGCAGTTAACTACTCTCACTGGCCACAGGGACCTCTCCTCCCACCTCTGCTCCTGTTCCCTGCAGCCGGAGGTCTGTCCAGGCAGGAGCTTCCTCCTCTCCCTCCCTGGTCTTGCTCGGTCCCGAATGGCCAGTCACCTCAGTTCTCATGGGCACCCTGAGGCGCCGGCCGCCTCCTGCCTCCCACCCTCAGCTGTGCCCCATCCCCCCGCCCGTGTCTAAAATGTCAGGCCTCACTGAGTAAAACCATGAGTTATTTGCTCTTTATCTCCTGGGTCCTAACATTTTTGATGGCTCCCATGTCCTTGATCCTACACAGGTTGACATCATAACTAACATATTTTCAAGGATTTCAGAACTTTTCCACTCTGATCAAGGTCCCTATTCCATCCCTACCACCAAACCCTTGTGTGGGTACCAAGTGCATCCAGTATGAGTGTCCTCACAATCTCTCTTATCTACATCTGGCTTATACTTGGATCTGCTTCTCTCTTTTTACTCTTCTTGCGTCAGATAATGAAACTCCCTTTGCTTATCTAGTGAAGTTGAACACACGGTGCACCACCCAATGCTTCTTTTCCTAAGAGGGAGGGAGCCATGATAACTGTGTACATGCCCCTTTCCTGCTGACTCTGCCCCTCCCCCAGCAGCCGCGGAGTCCCGCAGTGTCCGTGGAACTGAGTGCTGTGGGGCAGGTGCACAGAGAGGGGAATTTCTGAGGCAGCACTGTGATGGGTGCGGCTCAGGGCTCGGCTGTGGCACAAAGAAATGGGTGAAGTCACTGAGACTGGGAGCAGGAAAGCGCGGGCAGACACCATACTGCTGAGCCAGGTTCTAACCAATCGCAGTTCAGTAGCCAGGCGGTAGCCCCATTAAAGGTTTGTCACCTTGGGGTCCGAGGGCCTGGTGCACAGGGAAGTCGCTGAGCAGTGGCCACTGGCAGACAGCCCTGTGTCCTCACGGAAAAGAGGCCTCCATCAGCCAATGGGGCGGAGGAACAGAGTGGCATTGAGGGGCCTGAGAGCCCACAAAAAGAAGCAAAGACTCTACCCCAAATTAGGCAAAAGGAATAGTGATAAAATCAGAAACTGCTGCTTTAAAAATCATAGAAACAGCAGAATTGACAAACAAATCCTAGAGTTGTCCCTTCAAAAGGAAGGGCAAGCGATTGAGGGTGGAGAGGGCCGTGCAAAGGTACTGCAAGTTTAATGAAGGGGAAAGGAAAACACATAGAAAGCAAATTTATTGAAGATGTATTTATAGATGCTTCATACTCGCCAGGTCCGGACTGAGCCTGGGACACCGCGGCGGTATGAAGAGATGTGTCCTTGGCCTTCGAGGAACTGAATTTTGAATGAGGACGTGCTTCTTTAAACAAGTGATCACGCAGGTAAAACACAACTCCAAACAGAGGGCCATAAGGAAAAGCAAAGAGGACATGAGGTCAGAGCACGGTCATGGATTCATGTGGGCTGGGGGTGGATCATGATCATGATCCACCCATGGGGGTGGATCAACCCCGAGAGCAGACCAGCCTGTATGGTCTGCAGGTGGGAAGGCACGGGGCCAAGGTCGAGGGATTGGACAGAGGTCAGTGAGCTGGAGCGGGCAAAGGAAGCAGAGTTACAAAGCCTTTAGCAGGGTGACCGGCAGCCCCAGTGTGGCCGGGGCTGATGGGGGAGGGCTCCTTGGGCGTGGACTTTCCGTTTTAAAACCTGGACAGACCCAGGCAAACCTGGGTGACGTGGTCCCTGTTTACAGGCCTCATTCAATTCTGTGGACTCAGCAGAAGAGCAGTGTGGTTGGTGGCCACAGTTAAGGCGACCATGTGAGGAATGGGTGACTCAGAAACATTTCAAGGTAAATTGATGGAACTTGGTGAGCAATGACAGCCAGGGAAGATGGTAAGTCAGGAATAATTGAGAATGAACCACAGATGCTTCTGGCTTCAGAAGCTGGAGGGATGTGCATAAGAAAGGAACTAGAACACAAACAAACAGCAAATTTGTTCTCGGACGTCAACTGTGAATCAGAGCTGCAGATCCGATCAGTGCTGAGCCCGTCCATGGCAGTGCCTCTGTGCCTTCCACAGGGGCTCAGAGCCCGGGCCTGGCGGAAGCCCACACATGCTCTGGAGAGTTAGAGGTTAGTGTCAACCTGTAGAGAGGTGAGTCCTTCCCCCTCCCCCAGTAAGGGATGACTCAGCATAATGAGAAAAAGAAAAGCAGGAGGCAGTCCTTCACCTACAGACTGCACGTCAAGAAATAAACACATTACTTTTGCCCCTCCCCAACTCTCAGACTCCAATGTTTAACCCAGAGGAAACTGTAACTGAATTATGAAGTCCTTTCAAAACTAGACATTTGACACATCTGTTATAGAAGTCTTACAGAAAGCACTCTGGGTGCCTGTAAATTCTATAATTATGTTAATTCAAACTTGAAGACACTCCCCTGAATTTTTAAAAAAATGTTTCCAACCCAGATCACAGGGTTTGTTCTGCCAGCCACTGGGATGTGGGGAATATTTGCCGAACGCACTAAATTCTCTTCTTTAACCACCCATGTCAGGAGAGCATGGGGCTGGAATAAAGATGAGCGCAGCAGGCCAGAGATGGGAGTGGATTGAGCATGTAGGCTTAGTCCAGGTTCAAGAGCACAGTCCCAGGGAGGCCTAGGTCTGGGAGCCGAACAAGTGAGCACTTGGCTCTCAATACCCGGATCCCAAAGGGAAGGATGTGGGACCAGAGTGCTAGGACTGGGTGGGCCTCCAGGGCATGCAGCTCAATCTTTCCTCCACAGTTGTTTTGCAAGCATTCGTTCACTCACCTATTATTGATAACTTAACATGCATTTATTGAGCACCTACTGTATACGAGGCACTCTTCAGGAATGTGGAATGTGTTCATGAACATCACAGACACAGCTCTCTCCTCTCATTGACTTGATCTAAAGAGAGGATTCGGAAAGAACAGTGAAGATGAGCAGGGGACACCACGGCTACAGTACAGTATGCTGGAAGCGAACGCAGCTCCATGACATGGGAAAAGGAAGGCAGGTGGAGCAGTTGTGGTGATGGGGTGGGGTAGGTTGCCATTTAAATGAGATGGTTCAGATATGTTTGCGAGAAGATTCAGCAGAGATTAGAGAGTCAGCATGGGTCTCTGTGAGGAAAGCCTGGCTGATTCTTCCTTTATTTTCCCTCTAAAACAGTCCAGAGCAATATAAAGTGGGATTTTTAGCAAAAGCGATTCATCAGCCTCAGAAGCTCAGTTTTGCTTGTGTTCCACCCCGAGGCATGTGTCCCAATCAGTTCCTTCCACATCCTCTAACACTAGCCCTCCACCCTTCCACGTCCATGGACCCCAAGGCCATGCTCTCTGCACCTCCACTTCAGCTCATAGTGGGGCAGCATAAGGGAATATAGTGTCTGGCTGTGCATCGTGGAATGGTCTGTCTGTCTGGCTGAACATCATAGAATGGTCTGTCTGTCTGAGCATCATCGAATGGTCTGGCTGGCTAAGCATGGTGAATGATCTGTCTGGCTGAACATAGTGGAATGGTCTGTCTGTCTGTTTGAGCATCATGGAATGGTCTGTCTGTCTGGCTGGCTGGCTGGCTGAGCATCGTTCACATGTGCAGTTTAGAAGCTCAGGACAAGGGCAAGCAAAGCCTGCCTGTGCCACTTACACTGATGGTCCTTAGGCAAGTTATTTAACCTCAATGAGTTTCCATTTCCTTACTCACAATAATGAGATAATGCCTGGTAAGTGGTTTTGTCATTAGTATTGCCAGAGAAGTCGCATGTAGAACACTTAGCACAGTGCCGGGCAGACAGTGAGCACTTAATTAAATTTAAAACAGGCTGTGCTTGCTTCGGCTGCACATGTACTGACATGGAACGGTGCAGAGAAGATGAGCCTGGCCCGGGCAAGGACGACGTGCAAATCCGAGAAGCGTTCCATGTTTTACAGATGAGAGCTAGCACCTTTTGGTGGTCCACACTAGTGCCGTCTCCTGTGGGACAAGGCCCCTCCCAGCCTCCATTCTATTACCTTTGCCAGCCTGGCTCAGAGCCTGGCACGGGGTACATGGTGTGAGTAATGGGATGCAGTGTGTGCAGAGCTCTCCAGGAAAACACAACCAGCCTTGGAGAACTCACCATCCTGCCTGGTTGGTGAGTAGCCACCCATCCGTTCAGCAGGTGAAAAGCTTAGACACACACAAGCCAGAATCAGATTTTTCCTGCCACTCTCCCCAAAATTGATGATTTTGGGGAGAGAGCATAACCAGGTGAGGGAAAGGATGGCAGTGTTTTCTTTCCTTACCACACTATTAAAGGAGACCTTTTCTCATCCTAACCATAGTATTCCCTGGCTTTTCTTTCTTTTAAAATGTATTCTTTGTCTAACATTAAAGCCCAACAATAATGAAGTCAATTCTCTGGTGGATCAGGCTGCAGGATAAAGGCAGGATGTGATTCTGGATACAAGAGGGCTTCATAAAGAGAATCCAATCTCTGGTCCCAAACACCTTGCAGTGTGGATTGAAAGTTGGGGACCAGATGAGAAAGATGTTCCCCAAGTCTGAGTTCTTGCTGCATTTTAGAGCTTGAGGTCTCTGATCTCATGATGCTCAGACCACACCAGTGGGCACTGGTGTGTGGTGGCTAATGTGCAAAGCCCATGATTGCCAGCCCTCTGGATGCCCACAGGCATCGCCGAGCCCCTTAAGGGTTAGTGGTGATGGTGGGAACCCCATGCTGGGCGGAGGAGCATGGCGATGTGGCCATTCCCGCTGTGAGCAGGTTTGGAGGAAATCATTACCTGACACTGTTTTACGTCCAGGGCCCACAGGTTGCGGTTCCTGGACCACATCCAGCCTATTGCCTGTTTTTGCAGATCCATTTAGAGCTGGTTGTAGCAGACATTCCTTCTCATTACGCAGTAGTCTCCTGGCTGTCGGATGTGTCCACAACAGACCAAAAATCCACCAATTTCCCACTTTCCTAGAGGACGTCCACCATCTACAGCTAGAGCCCACAGGCCAATTCTGGCCACTGCTTATTTTGTCAATAAAGTTTTATTGGAACATATCCATGCTCATTCATTTATGTATTGTCTGTGAGTGTTTTCAAGCAGTAACGGCAGAATTGAGGATGCACCGCAGGGACTTGCAAACCCTAAAATTTTTATTATCTGATTCTTTACAGAAAGATTTGCCAACTCCTATTCTATATGAATGAAGTTTTCTAAAGTATTTGCACCCAGAGAAGGTTGTGTGAGAATTAAATTATCACTGGACATGATGGTGGGTACCTGCACTCACATTCAGACGAGTCTGGCACCAGCCTCGGGCCTCTGAGCCGCAGTCCTGTGGCCACAGAAAACAGCATCTCTCACATGAAATTAAGGGTGTTCGTGTAAAATGGACTGGCTGGGAGTTTTGTTTGTATTCTCCTTTAAAGTTTGGTTTGGTTTTACAGTTATATGAGAGCTAAAAGAATAAGGAGTTTTTGCCACAATGTCTGTAAGTATTTAATTTACATTTGAATACAAATAATTTAAGGGAACGAGGACTCCTGAGAAATTTTGTAAAGGAGTCTGTCTGTGCAGCGTCTTTCCCTAAACCTTCCCCCCAGCTTCTCTGCCCCTTTCTCTCTGTTTAATCCAGCAGACTTTTCCGGGGAAGGGCATGTAGTACTTATTTTAAACTCTTTTTAAAAATATATATTTTATTGATTTTTTTACAGAGAGGAAGGGAGAGGGATAGAGAACTAGAAGCATTGATGAGAGAGAATGTGCCCGCAACCAATGTACATGCCCTTGACCAGAATCAAACCTGGGACCCTTCAGTCTGCAGGCCAATGTTCCATCCACTGAGCCAAACCAGCTAGGGCAAGATTTTTTATTTATTTATTTATTTATTTATTTATTTATTTATTTATTTATTTAATGGAAGAGGCTTGTCTATTAACATTTCACAGGGATTCTTGATGGCATTCACTGACCTGTCTTTTCCCTGATAACTTCACCTTTCCCAAAATGTCATATAAATGCTCAGACCTGTGTCCCTTGTTGGGTCTGTGTTCTCTCACTTAGCAAGATGCATTTCAGATCCGCCCACGCTGCTGTGTGTGAGTGGTTCACCCCTCTTTAGGGCTGAGGAGTATTCCGAGGTACCGAGGGGCCCCGTTTCTCCATCCAGGCACCGGCGAAGGCCTCCTTCCCAGACTCTGAGTTCTGAAGAGAGCTCAATGAGCCCGCCACACGGGTTTCTGAGTGAACACGTTTCCCATTGTCTTAGGTGAATACCCAGGAGCGGGATTGCTGGGTCGTGTTGTAATTGTATGTTTAATTTCATAATAAATTGCCCAACAGTTTTTCTAAAGCAGCTGCACCATTTGGTTGGATGTAATTAGTTTTCAAAAATTAGTGAGGAAAATGAAAACTTTTGAGAAGCCGAAGGCAAAGAGCGGGCAGACAGGGAGCAGAGCTAGAAAGTGGAGCGGGGATAGGCAGTCCGCTTCAGGAAGAAGGGAGTGGGCCGAGAGCAGGGGCAGGGCTGGCCCCTGGGGACCATGTGCTCATGGGGGGAGGGGAGAGAGAAGTGTCCACCTTTGGGGCAGACACCAACAGCAGGTGCAGTGCGTGGAGATCCAGGAGGGTGTGGAGATACCAGCCGCTGGGAGAAAGGTGGGGACCGGAGGGGGGGGGGGTAGGGTTTTGTTAAGGGGTGGGCAGCGTCACACTCCTTGGTGGTGCCAGCCAGAACCTGGAGCAGGTGCGTCCTGAACCTCAGGGGCCACCTCAAGGGAGAGTCCCTCCATCTGCACAGGGGAGTGAGAACGGAGGTGCGGAGCAGAAAGAAGTCAGAGCCGCTTTCATTAAGCTTCATCCTGGCTTCCCTCACCAGAGCTGGGGTAGGTACGTGGCAAATGGCATTTCTGCGGGATGGCTGACTTCCTGTCACTTTGCCTGGAGAGGGAGAGAGAGCCCGAGGGAGCTGCAAGACTGAGGTAGGAGAGGGGCGGGGCTGGCTCACTCCTGCACCATGTTGGTGACCAGCACCCAGCAGAGCTCCTTGGGGTTGGATGACCCTCCCTGTGCAGCAGCCTGTGGGCCTCAGCCTCAGCCTCATTGAAAGCAGTGCCTCCACGCCGGGCACCTCGCCCAGCTCCCGTCTGTGCCTTCTCAGTCCCAGGGCCCTCCCTTGGCTGCACCTTCTCCACATGCACAGTCGCTTCCTGCAGGTGCCACCTCCACGGGCCCAAAGTCAGAAACGTCACTTCTCCATACCCGTTAACACTGTTAATATTAAATTCTTCCTGTTCAAATAACTTGCCTCATTTCTTTGTCCTGAATGAGCCCTGAGGGACACAGGAAACATGGAGCTGGAGGAGCCAAGCAGTGAAAGAGCAGCAATACAATATTTAATATTCACAGTAATAAAAATGTTTGAATAAGTAAGTTGTAAGGAGAAGAGGTCGATGCCTGAGTTAGTAATTTAGAAGGAAGTCTTTGGTCAGAGGGAGGGCTGAGGTCAAGGCCATTAGAGATGAGGAAGTCACAGGCCTGAGACCGTCTGCATGGCCACTGGACAGGCCAAGAGGGTGGCAAAGGCTCAGGTGGAAAGGAAGCATGTGTCCTAAGAATTAAATAAACAAGGTCAAAGGTACAAACTTCTAGTTATCCTATATAACAAAGAGCTAGTATGCAAATGGTAGTCACACCCAGCTTAGACACTCAACACTAAGGAGAGAGGAATGGGGACCAGCCAGGCTGCAGCCTTGGAGAGGGACAAGCCACCTGCCCCGAGGTCCTGGGCTCCAGCGGCTGCACCTGCATCCAGGGAGAGAAACAAGCTTCTCACCTCATGGTCCCAGGTGCCAGTGCCTACACCTGTGGCTCAGGAGAGGAACCAACTGCCTGCCCATGATTCCCTGTGGCCAGCCCCAGTCAAGTCAGCCCAGGTCCTGGGTGCCTCTGGTGGGTCCTGGGTGCAGGGCAAGGCAGAGGCAGTTAAGGGTGATCAGGCCAGCAGGTGAGCAGTTAGCATGATCAGGCAGGCAGGCAGAAGGGTTAGGGGAGATCAGGCAGGCAGGCAAAGGTGTTAGGAGCCAGTAGTCCTGGATTGGGAGAGGCAGTCAGACATCCCCCTGAGGAGTCCCGGATTGGAGAGAATGCAGGCCAGGCTGAGGAACACCTCCCCCATACACGAACTGTGTGCACGAGGCTTCTAGTAAGATAAATAAGTATTAAGGATGTAATGTATAATATAATGACTACAGCTAACTAAGAGAGTTAAGAGAATAAATCCTAAGAGTTGTCATCCAAGGAAAAAGCTTTTTTTTCTTTATTTGTATTTGTATGAGACAATGGATGATAGCTCAGCTGAGTGTGGCCATCATTTCACAATGTATGGAAGTCAAAGCAGTATGCTGCACACCTTCAGTGCATGCAGTGCTGTATGTCAGTCACATCGCAGTAAAACTAGAAAAATAGAAACAAAGGAACGAGGTCTGGAATGTCATTAGATGAAAGGGATGTGGAGGGAATAGGGGTCAGAGCTGAGTAACAGGATAATCGTTTCTATCTAATGAGCTGAGGTTATAAAATTTTACTGAGAAGCGCACAGACTTAAATAAATGAAAAAAGAAAGATCTCACCAAAGTCCTGAATTGAAAAACTCATTTTCCCCAATTATCTCTAATCTTAATCCCAATGGGATTTTTTTAGACCTTGACTGTAAGTTTCTAATTCTTGTCTATAAGAATATCATGCCAGTAACAAAAACAATTGAAGTTGAAAGGCAAAAAGGGTAATGAGTAGTCAATAGATATTAGCATGTATTATAAAGCTAAATGATAAAACCAATTGATGACACAGAAATACACAGATCAATGGAGCAGACTGGGGAGTATAAAGTAGATGAAAGAAAATTATATATAAGTTTAGTAGAATATGATAAA